GCAGCTGAGTCCCCTCCCTGCCTCCAGGAGGGCGCCTCACTACACCCCTACCAGCTGCACGTGGCTGCCGCTTGCCGGGCCTTCACTGGAAGGATAGCTTTGCCTTCGAAGCGCTTTGAAAACCTGAGTCTGGGGACCGGCAGATGCCATAATGGTTACATCACGGGACTCCCACGTAGTGGACCATGGTTCACATCCCAGACCACTTTGCTGGACCCATGTAGTCGACCATGGTTCAAGTCCCAGCTGACGGCTTAAAATTCACGCCACCTTTGTGTCCGAAGCCCATCTCTTCACTGAATGAAGGAGAAGCTACTAGACTCAGGGCTCCACTAGGGTGAACCTCAGTTCTCCAGCAAATCTCTCTCCCCAAAGACAGGTGACTGCAGAGGGGACAACAGATAGGAACAACCTCTTCTCATTGGCTGGAGGGAGGAAAGTGAGCTGGGCTGGGGACCACAGGACGACAGGACGGTGTGGAGCTCTGTGTCCAGGGCTCCGACTCCCCCCCTCACCACACCCCTGCTTGGCCCCCTGATCAGTCCTTTCTCAGGTGTCCCCAGGGACGGCTGAGTGCCAGCCCTCTCGGCCATAAACAAAGGGGGCAGAGGAGGGCCTTCAAGATCCTTCCAGCTGCCCCCGCTGTCTGCATGAGCAGTCCGGGGAGTCTCCAGGATCCGCCACTAGCCCCCGCTCCACAGCAGCAGTTATTTAGGAAGCCGGGGGGCCTTAGGCCCCCAGCCTCCACCCCGACCCAGCCTCCACCCCGACCCAGCCTCTCAGGGAGGAACATGTTGGTTCCCAAGCCTGCTTTCCCTGGCTTACGCAGGCAGGCCAAGAGCGGGGGTGGGGTGTGTGGGGGGTCTGTCCTTCATGTCTCTGCAGTAGCAGGGCCGGAGGCGGGGGGTCCCAGGGCTGGGCCTCTGAGCACCCAAGCTCTGCGTGGTCACCTGGAGGCCGCTGTGCGGTTGACGTACTGTAGGTGAGGGACTGCCATACGCTGTCCTGGGGGTGTTGTGTCAGTGACTGATGGACATGCCACTCCTGCTGACACCTGTTGGCCTGGTGGGGACAGTTTCGGGTCTCGCCCTCAAGCTGAGTGATGGGAGGGGGTAGCGGGCAGTACTGGACAATCCTCCAGGGTCCAGGCTGAGGGCAGAGGCCTGCTGGGGGGCTGGGGGGACATGGGGAGGAAGCACCTCTGTCCCTAAGCATCTGGAAGGGATCTCCCAGCCCCCTCCCCTGCCCCAGCATGGGTACAGCCAGTCAGGGAGAGGTGGAGGGCAGGTGGGCAGGGGCGGGAACCAGCAGGAAGCAGTTCCTGGACACCCCTATAAATCACCCCGGAGGAGTGTCTCCTGAGAGCCAGGCCTAGGGCTGCTCAGGGAGAGGGGGGGCTTTCTTCCTGGTCCAGGACCTCTGGTGAGGTCAGGCCTGGATCTGATTAGACAGGCTCCAGGGGGACTCAGGGGGGCAGTGACAGGTCGCGGCAGAGGGCTGGAAAGGAAGCTCAGGCCTCCCAGCCCTCAGCTGCAGCCAGACTCCTATCCGGTGTGTGATGATAAAAAGGGCTGTGGGCATGTTTGCATGGCGCGCTCAGAACTCAGCAGACCATCCCCCCGTATGGCCTTTTAAGGGGGCAGTGAGCCACAGGCTTTTCTGAAGGCCCCCAAGGCCAGTCCCTTCCCCTATCCCTGCCTGCCGAGGACCATGGACACAGCCTCCCAGGTGCCTGGCCCTGCCTTGGCACCCCTATAAATCACCCCGGAGGAGTGTCTCCTGAGAGCCAGGCCTAGGGCTGCTCAGGGAGAGGGGGGGCTTTCTTCCTGGTCCAGGACCTCTGGTGAGGTCAGGCCTGGATCTGATTAGACAGGCTCCAGGGGGACTCAGGGGGCAGTGACAGGTCGCGGCAGAGGGCTGGAAAGGAAGCTCAGGCCTCCCAGCCCTCAGCTGCAGCCAGACTCCTATCCGGTGTGTGATGATAAAAAGGTCTGTGGGCATGTTTGCATGGCGCGCTCAGAACTCAGCAGACCATCCCCCCGTATGGCCTTTTAAGGGGGCAGTGAGCCACAGGCTTTTCTGAAGGCCCCCAAGGCCAGTCCCTTCCCCTATCCCTGCCTGCCGAGGACCATGGACACAGCCTCCCAGGTGCCTGGCCCTGCCTTGGGCAGCTTGGACAGAACTTCTGTGCTTATGCCAGACACGTGACCGACTCCCGTGTGCTGCCCCACCACCCCAGAGCTCCCCGCGGAACCACACTGTCCAGCAGAGTGGCCGGTCGCTGAGCACCCGAAACGTAGCCTGTCCAGGAGTTGAGCTGTAAGTACAGGATATACACTGGGTTTTGAAGACTTAGCATAGGGGAAACAAAGAAAGAAAGAAAAGATTAATTGTTAGGGAAAGCCAAATCAAGGCTATTAGGTCATAGGAAAAGCCATGTGCATTTTTCTATGGTTTTTCTACACAAAGATGCGTCATGAGTTTCCCGATGACCCAATACAATGATATACCACTTCACACCCCTTAGGGCGGGCACTATAAAAAAGGCAGAAAGCAGCAAGTGTTAGGTGTTAAGATGTGGAGGGGCCAGCAGGTAGTGTAGCGTAGTGGTTAAGGCGCTGGACTCCCATGTGGTCAAACTACTGTTTGAGTCCTGGCCCCGGCAGCTTAAATCACACCTGGCATGTGTGTGTGTATTCCTAAACCTCCAGAGGAGGATGGAGAAGGGACTGTGGCAGGGCCATCTCTCCTAGGGAGTGATTTCTTGCTTTTTGTCTCACAGTCTCTCCAGTGAGTGTACGCACCCTTTAGCAAAACTCTTTCGCGGGGGGCGTGGTGGTTAAGTGTGCTGGACTCTCACATAGCCTACCACAGTTCGAGTCCTGGACCTGGCGGCTTGCTTTCTCACTTTCTTTCTCTGGTAAGTGCACA